AGAGTCTTACCGCTTGGGGTTGCTGGCTTGATGGGCCCACAAATATCGTCGTGCACGAGCTTCAATGACTCACTGACACGATAGGATGTTTGAGACAGAAAGGGAGTGCGACTCTGCTTACTGATGAGACACTCGTCATACAGCTTGCTTCGATTGCCGACAAAATGTGCATCATCTTCTTCTTGTGTAGTTTTTGTAAAGTAGGAAAGTTCAAGTCTCTGGACCTTACGTGCCACCTACAAGCTACTTTTTTAGTCCTAGTTGAGAGGTTGACTGGTTGCTATATCTTCAATTCCATAATGTAAACGTTGTTTGTCGTGTGTCGAATGACACAATCGCACTTTTAAAGGCAGCGGACTAGCGATTGTGCGACACTCACTTTCCAACGACAAGTGAGCTAAGCCAATTTGTACTTTCGTCGCCTACGGCCTACGGCCAAGTGACGTATGATCAAGCCTCTAGCCTCGGTTTTAAAAGAAGGTTTTGGAAAACGAGGGTAGAGAGAGATTTTAGAAAAAAAGATTTTTGAAAGAGACGTTATATAAGCAAGCAAAAGAGAGATAACAACGGCTTATCATATATAACCTTGGGTAGGGAGAAGTTGACAACTAGTCATATCTCCCTATAGTACATTCTGAAGCATTTCATGTCTGGCAGGCCTAGACATGATATTTTTGAGGCGTCATACGCCCTAAAACTACAAAAGTAAAACACTAGAATGAAAAGACATGACAAGGGTTTGGCTTGCCATAGGCATGCGGCAATGGGCAACACGCCCTGGACGAGCATGACCGTGACACCGAACTCGTGTGAAAAGAGCTGGCTCTTAAATTAAAATGTTAGTGGATCATTTTTCGTTTATATATTGATAGTAAAGATATTATTTTAAATTTAAAGATATTTTTATTAATTTAGTAATATTTTTTTTAAAGACATTTCTAATTTTTTTAATTTATAAATGTGTGTATTTTGGAGAATGAAATGAAGAGAGAGAAAAACATAGGGAAATGGGAATGAAATTAAGAGAGAGAGAGGGGGGGTGGGGAAATTGTGGTGGTTGGGGCCTACAACACCGGCAATTAAACTCGGTCAAATTGGGTTTGAATTCAAAGAATTAGGACCCAAATTGGTGGAGCCGCCTCTAAAATCTCCTCAAATTCCTGCCTTTCCCCCTTCATTACCAAACACCTCCCCCACTTTACTTCTTATTATTATCTTTTTTTTAATTTAATACCTATTTTCTCGATATTTGTTTACTCATTCAGACAATTTAAGAATGAGAAATAGAAATTATGACAAAATCATACAATAAAAAAATGACATTTGAATGTCAATTTAATCTCGGACATCAATAATAAACCTATCCTAAGCTGTCTTCTTCAACACTATCACTTGCCTAATATAGGTTGACTGGATCATAATCACATCATATCATAAAGATAAAAAAAAAATTATTTATTAAATGGAATGAAAAATATGAGGAATGTTAAGAATGATGTTGATATAGGTGGAATTAACGGTGCTATTTGAATACTACATTTAAAAAATTAATTGAGTTTTGTAGAGAGAGTAATGATATTTGGAAAGAAAACAAAAAATTCAGGCACCAATTTGGTCGACCAACGAGTTGTGTCTCTTGGAGGGTGCGGACGGCGGAATCGGAGTCCCTTTGGGGAGGAAGCTGAAGACTTGATGGTCAAACCGGAAGGCGGTGTTGGGTGCCGGAAAGAAGCTTGTTCCGGCCATTGTGGCCGGAGCTGGCCTTGCCGAGGAGAAGCCAAGAAGCAGAGCAAGGAGGAAGAAGAACACAAGCGAGGCGTTGGAGACATTGTTGCAGAGAGTGGCCGCCATGGGAAGAGAAAACAGAGCCGATTTTGATTTAGGGAGACGAAGAAATGGTTTATTTATTTGCATGAAGAAGAAGGAAAGTAAAGAGAAATTAGGCTCACGCGCCAACAACACGCCACCTCTATTGGACATTTTCAATGTCAACGCCTTTGGGAACAAGGATTAATTTTTCTTTTCTTTTTTAATTTCAATAAATAAAAAATATATAATTTTTACAACTTAAATGAAGAAATTAGCGTCCGATCTTTATATTGTTGGCTAAATTAAAAGTCAAATTTATTTTAAAATTTCCTAAAACAAATGACACGTGGAATTTTTAAAAAAAAAGAGAGAGAAAAACAAATAATTATTAGGTGATCTTTTGCGTGGGAAGGAGGGTGGTAAGAAAAGTAGGCGAGTGGGGACCACCACCGATGTCTTGGACATTGATAGATATCTGGAATTTGCCACGTCGGTGTCTGTCCCCAATGATGACTCACTCCTACCGTATTTTATTTGTGCACTTCCCCCATCTTAACATCTCCAAAAGTCACTTTGGTTGGTACGATCCGATGATTCAAACCATCTCTATCATCTAATTTAAAATAACTTCGGATTTATAGATATTTAATTTGTAAATGTTGTCGGACTTTAGTTATTAACGTAACGTGAATAAGTAAAATTTTTAAATAATTACGAAAATGAACAGTTGGGTCCTGAATTAAATCATTCACGTCACCAACCTAAATCGAAAATAGAAGTTTGGGTTAAGTTGGGCGGTTAACTAAATCATTCCCGTCATTAAAAAAAATAGTGTTTTAATGATATATATATATAATTTGGAAGTATTAAAAGTCTAGATTGCGTGGTATTTGATCGAGGTATAACATATTTTAATGGGAAGAAGTCGATTTCAATGGTTTTGAAAGAAGGGATTTATTGACAAAGAGTTAGGTATATTGAGGTAACGAAATTTGTGACATTAATATTAATTTTTAATTAAATATTTTCGTCATCATCTTCCATTTAATTATAACTTTATTTTTAACAAACATTATACAATTTAGTCTCAACACACAAAGTCCACCAAATCTCGATGACTATGGGTCGAATTTAGCTTCATTATTCATTCGGTTTTTAAAAAAATATAATAAACAAAAAAAAAAATTAAAATTTATTAAAATTACGAGAACTAAATTTTGCCGATGCTGAAAATAAAAGAAGCAAAGAACGTGTTATGTTTATAGGCTTAATTTTAAAAATTTGAGTATTTTGTTAGGTTTAGGTTTACATTTTAGTAATGTTTGGAAGATGGGGTGTGAAAATGATATATTAATGGAAGGGATTGTTTGAAAATGGCATACATATTCACATGGGGGTGAGTGTGTATGAGACTTTTTCTTTCTTCCTTGGGAGCAACTTTGAATAATCCCACTTGCACCTCATCTTTGTCTCGTATATATATCCATAAGAGTGTAACGGTCCATTATTAGCCGATAGTTTTAATCTGCTATACATCATCATTAACCTCACGGTTTTAAAATGCATCTATTAGGAAGAGATTTCCATACCCGTATAAGGAATGTTTCATTTCCCTCTCTAATTGATATGAGATCAAGCGTTGGCTTTGATACCATTTGCAACAACCCAAACCCAAACCCACTGCTTTTAGATAATGACCACTTTGATCCTAACATATAGTCGTTAACCTCATGATTTTAAAACTTGTATGCTAGGGAGATATTTTCATGTTTTATTGTCTCTCCCAACTAATGTGGGATCTCATAAAGGGTTAGACTTGACTTGAAACCGAAAGACCGTGATATTAACCCTACTTTTCATGAGCAGACTTGTAAAAGATTATGGTCTATTGTCGAAGGCAAACATAAAGAGAACCCCCCGATAGACATGGATAAGAAAGAGTAGTGAAAGATGCTTGATAAAGTTTCAATCTTTTTCATTTCTAACGATGTTAAAAAACTTAAAAGGAATAATCTACGGGCGTACGATAACTATCTGTAAACTATAACATGAGAGGTGGGAAATTCATTAACTTATTGATCGAGAATCCATAATTTTATGTCAATCCAATGCAATTATGATGGATTAAATATGATTCTTAAAACGTTCATAAAATTATTTATGGGTTCATAAGAGAAAATAAAAAAAATTGCTATTTACGAATACAAGATGTCATATGGAAAAAGTTGGTGACATTTCGTATTCAATTATCTCTCTAACAATCCCACTTTAGAAATAAAAGTTTCTTTGTCTTCCTCGAATTAAAGTAATTATTTACTTAAAATGCTATCAACTTTCGATGCTTTTATATCGTATCATAGTGCGTTTGTCCAAATAATTTGAAAACTTTAATTTTACTTTTTAAGTTTAATAATATGCAGATGATTCGAACCTCGTGCATGTTTTGAAATGATCTTAGTGTAAAACAAAATGGAAAAGGAAATTCGAAGTCACGACTATAAAAGTCGAACGACACAACTCCTCTTGCAAATAATGTCACACGCAGCCTACAATAGAGTCGATTGCCTCCTAGCCTATGATTGCATCATCGATTCGTGCCCATACAAAATTCTTACGTAATACTCAACTTCCTTTTACACAAAGCTAGAACGTGATTTCGGAGGGTAAGGACTTTCATATTCTTGCAAGATTTCTGCGATCTTTTACGATTCAATACATTGGTCCTCTATTCACGTCAAGATTTTAAATGCTCTAAAATGGCATCTCACGTGTTGGTCGGCAGCTACAAATGTGATCTTCGACACAAAAGATGGGTCTAAATAGAAGATAGATGATAACGACGAGGAAACACAAAGTATAAAGGATTATTCTCCCAACCACTTCACTCTTTTAAAAGCCAAGCATTAAATACGTTTCCATAAGAACGATTCAAGTCAAATCTTACAAAGTAGGTTATTACGATAAAACACGCCACCTTATCTATGCACTATAAACACGATAAACACGATAATTAATGATTATTGCTTAAAATATATTGATTTATAAGTTTTGTAATAAATTTTGTAGCACTCCTTAATATATATATATATATGAAAATAAAGTAAGTGATTTATGGTGGGGGTAAAGTTGTAATTTGAGGGGTGGGAATTACCCAAATAAAACAGAGTGGAGAGGTCGGGTCCGTGCTTGGTTCAATTTCAAGAATTGAGAATCTGAGAGGCCGAAAGTCGCTCCTCTAAAAACCTAAAAGCTCTACTCTTTCTTCTTCCTCCTCCTCCTCGTGTTAGTTTATGCTTGAGTTTCATAGATATGGCTTCAGATGCTGGTTCGAGGGCGAGTTCAGCTGCCGATTCGTACATTGGAAGCTTGATTAGTTTGACTTCCAAGAGTGAAATTAGATACGAAGGCGTACTCTACAACATCAACACCGATGAGTCGAGTATTGGACTAAGAAATGGTATTTCATTTTCATTTTTTCCTATTTTCTTTCCCCTGTCTTCTCAAGATTTGCGGTTGTGTGGCTCACTGCCTTTTGTTCTGGCTCAAACTTTGCTGGTTTTGTTAATGCATGGGCATTTTCGTTTCTTTATGGCTAGAGAATCAGAACTTCGATGAAGTTTTGGTTTTGATTTTGTTACAACAAGGCTTGAGTTTGAAATTTAAGGTTTCGATTTGTGGCTGAACCGACTTTGACGTCCGATAACGCCCAAAGGGTTTTAATTTTACCCTTGTTTTCCATTTTATTTTCCAGGCATTGTTCTCTAAAGCCCAATAGCCAGGTCGAAAGTTAAAAAGATTTTTGTGTTTTATTTTTTAGGCATTGATTTATCATCTACCATTCTACTGATTCCATTTCTATATTTCAGTTTGCTTTCTTATTATCAGCTGCCTTTGTAGATTTCTTAAGGTTTAAAATGCCTTCACTGATAAAGTTTTCTTTTTAGTTTAGCACTCGGATAGCCCGTCAATTCCCATTTGAGTACAAATTTTAAATGCAGTTATGTGGACTTCCGCTTATTTTTTCTCATATTTCTGCATTTCTCACGAGTTTAAAAAATTCCAACACATGGTTTTCTTTGTAATTGTTTGCGGGCAATATTTGGTTGTTTTTGTAAGAATTGAGTGTCAATTATTATTACTCCTTTGGCGAGTAGATTGTTCCATATAGGTCTTCAATGGAAACTCTTGAGAACAATGTACCACCAGAATGAAAATTTCTTGCATCTTATTTTCACATGTTTCTTTTCATATACATCAAACAATGAACTAATCTTAATTTTTATGATCTTGTATGTAATAATAATTTGATGTTCTGTCATCCGTTTTAATCATTTTCAAGCTTCATACATATGATTCACTCTATTTTAATCTTTTTTTGGGCTAGTGAGATCATTTGGAACAGAAGGAAGAAAGGATGGCCCCCAAGTTCCTCCAAGTGATAAAGTTTTTGAGTACATCTTATTCCGCGGAAGTGATATCAAGGTATCAGATGCTTTGAAAATTATGTTTTCTATCATACTTTGTTCTTTTTGTTATTTTTTAAAAAAAATTAGGACTGGTGAATTACCTATTGTTTAGAGTGAATGTCTAGCATCACCATTGGAGTTTGTCTCTGTCGCTTGCTGATTACCACTTGAATTTCCGATCACGTGAGCCTGCTGGCTCAATGTGGTATTTTGTTTGGAGCATGCTCATTTATTGTTTTGGATTTCTTGCTGCTTCGAATATGTCCTTTCTTTTGATATTGTGTACTTAATAATCTAGATGGGGCACAGGGCTCCATTTCCTTTCCATTGCTTTGATCAATAATCTGGTTTTTTGTGCTCTTGGCAGGATTTGCAGGTTAAATCTTCTCCACCTGTTCAGCCGTCAGCGCCTATAAATAATGATCCAGCAATTATTCAAGTAAGTTCATTTTTGTTCAAAGAATGTATTTTTCCAATTTCTTGGTACGTAAGGCATGTTTGCTCTATTGTTATTTTTTGAAAGGATGTTAAGCTTACCTGTTGCTTATGCAGTCTCACTATCCCCCATCAGTTTCCACAACTACCAGCATGCATTCTGCTGTCAGTGGGTCATTACCCGATCATACTTCTCACACAGCATTTGGATTTCCTCAGTCTAATTTTCAAGGTGGTTTGCCCCCATATCAACCTGGAGGCAACTTGGGGTCATGGGGAGCTTCTCCTCCGCCTCCTCCAAGTGCAAATGGCAGTGGACTTGGGATGCCCATGTATTGGCAAGGGTATTATGGCCCACCTAATGGGCTTCCTCAGTTACATCAACAATCAATAATACGACCTCCTCCAGGTCTGTCAATACCTTCATCTCTGCAACAGTCAATGCAGTTTCCTAACATTAATGCACCTTTACCCACTGGAACTTCAAATCAACCAGAAGTTCCATCTCCCTTGCTCGCTGCTAATAGTAGTGCTCCTAACCTGACCTCCACTGTTGTGCCCCCTCCAACTTTTTCAACAACTTTGCCTATGTTCCCTTTTACTTCTTTTTCTGAAACCTTGCCAAGTTCAGTTGCTAATAAGACAGCTGTTCCTACCCTTTCTGGAGCCCCAGTTAGTGTAAGTTTGCCCCTTGGTCCAATACTATCTTCATTTTCCGGTGGAGATGTTAGTTCTGCCATACCACCAATCACTAATGAACCTAATGCAGTTTCTGGTCCCTCATTACTGTATCAAAATGCGTCTCAGTCAACTTCATCTGTAATTGGAATAGCCAACTCTCGTGCTGAATCTTCTGTACCTTCTCTCGTTACCCCTGGGCAGCTGTTGCAGTCTGGTCCTGTTGCTGTGGTTTCATCTCAATCCTCACGTACAGTGCATGAGGACGTGGAAGTGGTCCAGCCATTATCGTTAGAACCTTCGATGCCAGTGACAACAGAGGCTCAGCCACCAATATTACCACTACCTTTACTATCAAGGCCCGTTCAAAAGGTGTCTTTCTAATTCATAAAATGTATTTTTGGTCTCTGATTTGCTATTTTTCTGTTATATCTTTAATTTTTCTTCCTGTAAGTGGCACTTTATGCAGGCTAGTTTCTTTGAAGATTGTTATTGAAGTTATGATTGATTCAAATGTAATTGAGGTTGCCAGATCAAACTTCTAGATATTAGAGTTTTTCTTGTAAAGGCCTTCTTGGCCAAAGTCTGATTAGGAGACTACTCAAGATTTTTAATTATTGCATCACATAGTGATAAATTTACTGACAGGGATTTAGTCATAATATGACTTAGATTCTTTTTTAGTGGCCTTCTTTGCTAAGGCTGGGTTTTAGGGGACTTGTAAACATTTTATGTAATTGCTTCACGTAGTTATATATTTACCTTTGCTTATTGCTGGTTCTTGAGTTCACTTCTGGAAGTGCTACATAATCGTACTGGACAGGGATTTGGTCATACTATCTCTTTGGATTTCTTCTAGAAGCCTTCTTAGTCAAAGACTATGTTTTAGGAGACTACATTTTAATTATTGTGTCACAGTGATATATTTACCTTTTCTTATTTCTGGTTCTTGAGTTCATTGCTGGAAATGCTACTTAAAAGTTTTTACACTTCGTGAACTGTTTATTCATGTGTTCAATTGCACAACCATAGTTGTAGATGATCAGAAATTCGAACTGATGTTTCAATTGCTGCCCTATTATATTTCCTTGTTACCTTGTTAGTTTATGTCATGGAGACACTGATGTTTTGTTTTAACTTTAATGAGTTTCAGGCAAATGGTGGTCATTTTCAGGCTCGCCACTTTTACAGAGGACGTGAAAGAGGAAGAGGATCTGGGGTAATTTGTGAACTATTAATAATAAATTAATAGTAATAATTGATGTAGGCATCACTCGTTATGAAGTTCAATAATGAATTCCTTTATGTTGTTTACATCTTTAAAGTGTTATTTTTGGAGTCTAGTCATCTAAAAGTGTTGCTTCTTGGAGAAAAGTCTTCTTCTCCAAAGGGCGAGAGACTTACCCTCATCCAAGTTGTGTCTTAATTGGGGTCCCATTCATCTTTACCTTTTTAGATTTCCTGGGTCAGGTGAGCAAAAGTTTGGAAAAGATGATGAGGGAATTTTTTTAGGAGGGGGCCTATGGGGGTTGCATTGGTTAGTTAAGAGATGCCTTCCAAGCCTTTGGATCTAGGCAGGTTGGGGGTTGGTAACTTAAAACACTAGAACGGGGCTTTATTGGCCAAGTGGTTGTGGTGCCTCTCTTGAGAATTGAATGCTTTGTGGCATAACCATCATAAGTAAATACGATCTCCACCCTTTGTGTTGGTATTTGGAAGTAGGGTTATGAGATCCCCTAAAATCCCTTGGAAAACTATTTCTTCAGGCTTTCCTCTATTTTCCCTAGGTTGGGAGGACAGCTGTCTGTTGGGTGGTAGAGAAACTGCTTTGCATCCCTTAACCCCATTTGTATCACCTTTCAAAATTGAGGTTGTAGTTAGTGGTCTCTGATAAGCGGCATTTGTGTGAGTTGTCTTTGGTTATCTTATGGTTTTGTCAGCCCTTTATGGATAGGGGGTTATTGGAGGTTTCTAAGGTTGTACGACTGTGCCCCTGAGTTATAGGGAGGTTTCTATTTTACTTTGCCTGTGGGGCATAAATGCGTTGGCTAGGGGAGGAGGAGGGACCTTTGCCTTTGGACCCCTGCCTCTTCCCAGGGTTTTTCTTGAAGCTTTATTTTTTCACCTCCCTTGCTACCCCATCACCTCTTCCTTTTCCCCACTAATGTTAAGACTCCAAAGAAGGTAAAGTTCTTTCAAATCTTTCATGTAAAAGTTAATACATAGATTGGGTGGAGACACTCTTCCTTCCTTTTGGGGCCTTAGTTGTTTCTTTGAAGTTGTTAGTTTGCTTAGTCAATTTGGACCATTTTCTGGGGGGGCTTTCATGGTCTCTCTCTAGTGTGGAATAGAGATTGTTGGGCTATGATAAAGAAGGTTTTGATGCTTCTTCCTTCATGTGAGAAGGGCAGAGTTCCTGTGGCAAGCTCGTTTCTTCACTGTTGGTTGGGGTATTTGGATAGAGGGGAATCAAAGAATTTTTAGAGAGGAAGTGAGACTGCTGGTTGGGGTGTGTGGGAGGTTAAGAGGTTCAATGTCTTCGTTTGGGTCTTGATAACTGAGGGTTTCCATAATTATCAGTTAGACTTTTTTCTTTTGACTTGGAGTACCTATTTGTTGTATGTGGGGGCTCCTTTTGGTTGGCTGTTTCTTTTGTACACCCTTGTATGTATGAGGTTTTCCGTAATTATCAGTTACACCATTTTCTTTTAAATGACCTATTTGTTGTATGTAGGGATGTTTTTTTGTCCACCCTTGTATGTATTTTCATATTTCTCAATCGAAGCTCCGTTTCTTATGTAGTTTGTGTACTTTCCTCGTTCATTTTGAGTGCTGAATAAGTTTTAATGGACTGGAATCAGAGTGATATGGTAGAATTTGAATTGAAACTTGATAGATTATCCTTCGAAAACAAACTTCTAAGTTCCTCAGATCCAAGGATAAATTTATAAGAGCGGTGAAAATTATAAAGAATTGAGGGAGGTGATGGATTAATGATTAGTGTACTCAATTTGTTGGATACATAATCTGAAAATACATCATGGTTGGGTTAATTTGTAGGTTTGTATTTATGTTTGAGGTTCACATTCTCAATAATCCTAGAGTTGAACATTTGGCACTTTACATTGCAGAGTTCCCGTCCTGTTACCAAATTTACGGAAGATTTTGATTTCATAGCTATGAATGAGAAATTCAACAAGGATGAAGTGTGGGGAAATCTAGGTAAAGGCAATAAATCTCACCACAAGGATAAGGATGTGGATGGAAATGTCAGTGATGATGATGATGCGGAAGAAGAAGATGAGGGTGAAGTCTCACAGTCTGGGGTTAAGGTGAGAACATCCTTAAGCCTTTCGAGTTCGGAATTTAGGTCTATTCAAAAGATGGATTCAATTCTTTTCAAACCATGACATACTAAATGTGTCTTTTATATGCAGCCTTTGTACAACAAGGATGACTTCTTTGATTCACTCTCTTATAATGCTATTGATAATGATCCTCAAAATGGGCGGACTAGATATTCGGAGCAAGTAAAGATAGACACAGAGGTAACTTTTCTGGTGGCTGCGTCTCGTACGTTTTAAATTGCCATATTTAATGTTTTCCCAACTGCTATTGCAGACTTTTGGTGATTTTTCGAGGTATCGAGGGGGACGAGGTGGCCGAGGTCCTGGACGTGGGGGGTATTTCCGTGGAGGATACCATGGAAGAGGATATGGCTATTATGGGAGGGGGAGGGGGCGGGGACAAGGGCGATCATCATTTAATCGTTCATAATCCAACCAGTATGTATCTTTTGGGCTATATAATGGTTAATTGTGCCCCATTTAGTTTGAGTTTATAAAGGGTTTTGTTCTTTTATAGAGTGCATGTTTCTCTCTGTCTGTCCCGAAATAATAATCGGATTGTTCTTTTGGTTTTCATTGTTTTTATCGGTTTGCCTTGTTCAACAGTTGGTCTAACAAAGAATTTGATTTCTATTGGAAGCTTTATTTGTAAACCAAGTTGGATGATGTTGTTTAGTGAGCAAAATTTAAGAAATTTATGGCACTCTTGATGTTTATCCTCTCTTCTGCTGTTATAGCTAATGATAATGAGGATGCAAAGGGGTTTTTGTGTATGTCTCGTGACTCGTGTATGTTGGACACGTTCTATGTTTCAGCGTATTGAAAAGACACTATTCAAGAGAAGAATATAAAGACACTATTCTTTCCTCCCAAATCCAAGGACAAAACTTCTTGTGAAGTTGCATTGCTAGTACCTATCAAAAATACCATCTCATTTATATCAACTTTTATTTGCTCGTTGGAGAGAGACTTCTCGTGACAATCCACCTAAAATGGTCGAGAAATTATTCAATGAATATGTCAGATAGTTTTACACGATTAAACATATAAAAGAGAAGTAAAGATTTGTAGAAAATCAAACAAGTGGAAATCAATATGAGTAACTCCTACTCTAATAAGACCACGTGAAATCATAAAAAATCTTAAGTTTATAGGCTACGTTAAATTTAGTTATATCAATGTTTTGGTATGTATTGAGTGTATTTTTGAATTTACGTCTAACCACTATTAAGAGGTAGTCACGAGCAACCTCATTTTATAATTTTATCAAAGGGTTCTAAACCAAACATCACCTTCCTACAACTGGATAGAGGTGGATACATATATATATTTTTTTTTTTTTTTTGTAAATGTCCAAAACCACAAGTCTTTATCAGATGCATTGAGTTTCATTGGGTATAACTATTTCAAATACAAATATACTTAGATCATCTAATAAGAACTTTTACATAAAATACAAAACAGTCTCTGTTGTCCAAAAACCAGATTTGTATGCAGAACCCACAGAATTCAACTGAGGGAGAGATAGATTTCTTGTGAATATCACACAATCTAAGCAAACACACAGAAGGGTCCAAAAAAACCAGATTTCTATAAATAAAACCCTCCACTTTGAAGGAGAAGCACCACCAAACAAAATGGAGTTTAGTAGCAAAGAGTTCAAGGTTGGAAAATGTGAGGGCCAAAAGGAAGTGGATGGAGAAACCATGCCATTGGTTCTACAGCCTCCTGAATCAAACAAGGCCAACTTTGATTCCCTCTTATTGGCTCTAAAAAACAACAAAGATTGGTTGGACCAAATGATTATCAAACACAGCGCTGTTTTACTCCGAGGATACGACGTGTCGAAAGCTGAGGAGTTCAACGAGATCGTTGAAGCCTTCGGGTGGGAAGACATTCGATACGTTGGTCCAGCTCCTCGAACTCATATTTATAAGAGGATTTGGACTGCTAATGAAGGACCCCTCTCTGAGTTCATTTACTACCACCATGAGATGGTTTTGGTAACTTCAAAGCTTTTAAAATTCCTTGCTTTACTTTCAAAGTACAAAAATGTGGAACTAATGAATGAATTAATTGAAATAGATAAAGGAATATCCAAAGAGGGTAATCTTGTACTGTGAGATACCTCCTCCAGAAGGTGGAGAAACGCCATTTGTTCCAAGTTTCAAAGTAACAGAACGAATGGTGAAGGAATTCCCAAAGGAAGTTGAAGAAATGGACAAGAAAGGCTTGAAATATACCTTCACTGCTCTTAGCAACAATGACACTTCCTCTATGAGGGGCAGAGGCTGGGAGGATGCTTTTGGTTCATCAGATCGTTATGAAGCAGAAAAAAGGTACCCATCTCAAATACTGCTGAGTATTATGATTAATGGACACTCAGCCTTGTAAAACATATAATTTGCAGGGCTAATGCGTTGGGGATGGAGGTTGAGTGGCTGCCAAACGGCGCGATGAAGACGATACTGGGACCGAGGTGCCTAACAAAGGTGTTTGATGGAAGGAAACGAAGAAGAATGTGGTTTAACACCATGGTGGGGATGCATGGGAAGGAGCACAGCTCTGCTTTAATGGCGGATGGGATGGAGATTTCAGAACATGTTGTGAAGAGATGCCAGCAGATAATTGAAGAAGAAAGCATCCAATTCAAATGGGAAAAGGGGGATGTTTTGTTTTTGGATAACTATGCTTTGCTCCATGGAAGAAGGCCTTCTCTTCCTCCCAGAAGAGTATTAGTTGCCACCTGCAAGTAGTTCTTCCTCTACTATGCTTGTGGTTTAATGAATAAAAAGTATAGTTTCTTATTATTTTACATGCTGTTGAGGCCATGCTGTGAGAAAACTATGCAAACATTTCCCATTAATAAAGATGTTGAACTATTATTCGGTCCACTTAGACTCGTCTGGTTCGGTTTTGCTGGATAAAGTTTCTGGTTTAGTTTTCAAGGTAAGTATAACGGCCCAAGCCCACCGCTAGCCGACATTGTCATTTTTGGGCTTTCCCTTTTGGGTTTTCCCTTGAGGTTTTAAAACGCGTCTGCTATGGAGAAGTTTCCACACCCTTATTAAGGAATGCTTTGTTCCGCTCTTCAACTGATGTGAAATCTCATAATCTACCCCCCTTGGAAGCCTAGTGTCATGATCCTACTTTTTTAATCATGTGGCGTCGTGATCTTGACACGCTCACGACCAACCTTACGGGTTAAGCCCCATATATATTTTTTGCCCCGACTTTGTGGCTTCATTGGACCTTAGGTGAGGTTTGTCTTCGTCAATCGAACATCGCTTGTGCGGAATCCTTAGCTTGTTCGACCACACACGCCGCCTGCACATGCATGATCAATCATCTGCGACACAACCGACTTGCCTCTACACTAGGCCAAGTCATTCGGCTCTACCTTGCCTCTGCTCGGGGCCAAGGTCTCTCAATGCAACATCACGTCTCATCTTGTCATCTCGATCCCCATTGACATGACCCATATGTCTTGACGCCATCCCGAGTCTCGGGGTGTCATCGGCCATCACAATTCGCTCGGTCATGCCATTGAGAATGGACCCACGTGTCGCTCATCTCATTGGGACGCACCGAACATCCATCCATCCATCCGAGTTCTATCGAGGCATTAGCCCTCCCGTGCCCATGCCATGTCATTTATGGATACCGTACCGAATAGCGGGTGTATGTAGCAACCTTCGACACGTGGGCTGGGGCGCAATACCGGCACACCCGTGCCGCCTAGTACTGTCCTTGAAAAACCCATTTCAGAGGAAGTCGCATGAGACACTCGTCTCGACACGCTCGCCCGCGCAGTGATACACATATGTGCCACAGGGTAGCTTGGTTAGGTCATTAGGCCCAGGGGTGGTGGAGAGCTGACACCATGGTACCCCTATATTACATTTTGAGCAATTTTTAATAGGCATAGACATGATTTTGGCGAATGGTCATACGGTGCCATGGAGTGCCCGTCCGGTGTCCGATTGACACCAAATTTGGCGAGCATTCATATTTCGTATGAACGGACTTAACTCTAGAACCGTATGCCCGAATTCCTTCTGGAACCTTGACTTTTGAGGTTAAGGCCCGGGACCCTACCAGATCCTTCAACAAGCCTATCTTTGCCCCTCTTGTCTATTCGATGTCTCTATCTTGCTTATGTCTCGACTTGTCTTCAATGCCTATTCTATGTGGTGTGTTAGATGGTGCACCAGCCTCCTCGATCGTATCATGACACTTGTCTAGGCGCTCGTGTGGCCAGATGGGCGCCACTTGAGGGTCGCCGCTTTTTATGTCGCAACGTGAGGGTCATAACCTACTCTCGTCCTTGCTGGCACACTGCCTGATATTTGGCTATGATACCATTTGTAACAGCCCAAGGCCACCGTTAGCAGATATTGTTCTCTTTGGGCTTTTCCTTTCAAGTTTTCCTTCAAGGTTTTAAAACGTGTCTGCTGGGAAAGGTATCCACACCCTTATAAGGAATGCTTTCTTCTGCTCTCCAACCGATGTGAGATTTCACAGTAAGTGAGCTTATCCTCAATATTAAGCTAGAATTTGAATAACTAAGGCTAATATAAGATTCGAATGAGAGTAATCCTGATATGGTCGAGAAAGATTTAATAGAATTTGATAGCTACTGCCTCTACCAACAACGTGTAACTTTTTTTTTTTGAATGGTTCAATGATAGGAACTCCAAAGTTCAACCCGATTGACTTGAATGAATTCTACCATAAAAACTCGGGTAGGTTTGTAGGAAATTTTTTTTGAATATACAATAAAGTTAGAAGCTTTGCGTGACACCCTCTCGCAATTAAGAAAGTGGTTGAACAGCATTTAATTTCTGCCCCCGCAGTTCTTATTTCAATTTCGTGGCAGTTTTTGAGACCAAAGAAAGCAAGCCGACTCCCAATGCATCACAATGGACAACGTATTCTCATTTGAATTTTCAAGCTATCCCTCTAATTCATCATATTCCCAATTTAAGTTTATAAGCTTAGGAATACAATCAGAACCTCTCTATGGACCTCAGAAGAACACAAAGACACGACCAGAACCTTGTCGGTTCAGAGTCTTAATTCTTTCTTTTGTTCTTTCTGTCCACTTTCAAGGTCTCTTGTTAAGGTTCTTATGTCTTGTCTCTCTGTACTGTTATTTTTAGCACAATATGGTTAGCCATGGAGATGGGGAAAGATGGGTTTTGAAGTTCATGGCATTGTGATTGCAGATGATGAACAGATTTGGTGTTCTTGTTTCTGTTTCGATTGCAGCTTATGCAATTAGGCAGCTCACAATCAGATCATGGGGCTCATTAATCTGTTCAGGTTGTCTCCTCTTTGTTTCTCTGTTTTTCTCAACTGTCTGTGTTGCTTCTTTGAGTTAAGGTTCTTATTCTTTTATCCTACATAGAAAATGGAGAACACACAGAGAAGAACCTAAGACGACAGCGAAGAATGTTCCATGTAATGTTTCAGAAAACCAACTTTGAATCGTTTAAATGCTTTTTGTACTACTTTTATAATCCTTTGTATGACAGGGCTTGGATGAAGAACAAGAAGAACAAAAGGGAGCTAATTCAATGAATGATCTTGAAGATGGTGATCATGATCATAGTTTAGATGAACTTCGAGAACATCTACCACAAAACAAAGTGGGTGAAACCCATAAGATTGAAATGGAAAGGTTGCTGAAACAAGTGATGGAATTGGAGGAGAGGAAAGTGAAGCTTGAAGGTGAACTGCTCATGTATGATGGTATCAAGAACAGTGAAATGGATATCATGGAGTTGAAGAAGCAGCTGGAGGCCAAGAATGATGATATCAATAAGAGTAATATCACAATCAGCTCTTTGCAGGCTGAGAGGAAGGAGCTACAAGAAGAGATAGTGAAGGGAGCATTGGTGAAGAAGGAGCTAAAGGAGGCTAAGGGAAAGATTAAGGAGCTGCAAAGGCAGATTCAGGTTGATGCAAACCAAACAAAACAACAGTTATTATTACTTAAACAACAAGTTTCCACTTTGCAGGCAAAAGAGGAAGAGGCCCTCAAGAAAGAAGTAGAACTTTATAAGAAGATGAGAGCGGAGAAGGATTTCGAGGTCGAGATTTCGGAGCTTAAGCGGAAGAATCGAGAGCTTCAACACGAAAACCAGGAACTTACCTCTAAACTAAATGTCATGAAGGCTAGAATCACAACTCTCACTAAGATGACAGAGGTTAGTAGCTTAAAGGGGTATTTTTGTGTATTGTATGATCTACTTGTTAGGATTGCATAACAACGCACACACTCGATCTAGATAAACACAAAGAACAAGAGAGAGGTTTATATATAATTCAGTTTACTGAATACCCGATATAACCTTTTACTATATATAACTATTTACCATAAGTCTACTCGTTTTTTACACCATTTTACATATATAGCTCTACTATTTACAACAATTGATTAATAACAGGTTGAAACAATAAGCAAGGGAAGAGAGGAGGCTAAGAAGTTAAGAACTGAGAATGAGGGTCTGATAAAGCAACTTGAAGGGCTCCAGATGAACAGGTTTAGTGAAGTTGAAGAGTTAGTGTACCTTCGTTGGATCAATGCTTGCTTGAGGTATGAGCTTCGAGATGACAACAAAACACCGTCAGGCGAATCCGCTCATTATCTCAATAAGAACTCAAGTCCAAAGTCAAAAGAGAATGCAAAACAACTCATGTTAGAGTATGCAGGAACAGAAACAGATTCAATTGATAGTTCAAGGAGCAGAAGTAGTAGTAGTTTCAGTGAGAAGCCTAATTTGATCAGAAACAATGGCGAGTCGAGTGGTGTTTCGTTGTTGCCGATGATCGGTTTGAGCCACAGACGGAAGGATTGTTTAGAAGCAGTGTTGGCTGTGAGGGCTGAAACTTTAACTCTCTCAGAAGTCCGCAGATTGCAAGTTTGTTCAAGAAACTCTGTTAACTCTGTTGCAACATCATTCAAACTTATGTCTAAAACAGTTGAAGAAAGTCTAAAACAAAGAACATCATAAGTTGGGGTTAGGGAAAGGCAGAAACTTTCCCCATTAAACTTTTGCTATCAACTGTTCTAATGTAAACAGATATGTGTTCTTGTCAATATATAAGTTTGTATATGTTCTAATGTAAACAGATGTGTTCTTAATTTAGACTCATGAGATGTATGCTTTGGTTTCTTTATTTCAAAAAGATCTCTCCCATCTTGGTGTTCTTTTAACTTTTTTTATTTGTTTCAACATATTTCGATCGTGGGTCATATCGAACAGAGACTTGGTTGTAGCATTGGCAATGAAAGTTAGAGAAGCGTCTTGTCGTTCATTATATGGCTTGATGAAAGTAAAACGTACATTATGTGGATTTCAACTTCCAACATCGGGGGCATATTACGACCGTCAAAAACCAATTTTATACTTATTTGAGTCCGATTTGATATCAACTTTGTTTTGAACTCTACATTTTTTAAAATTGTGCCATCATTTGATGTGGGAAAATATATTGTTTACGAACTCGTTAAATCGATAAGGACGGGTTTTTTACACCAAATCTAAAACAATTACCTTAGAAAAAACTAGTAGATGAGATATATGACCCTTGTACTTGCAATCATTGAATTGCTAATAATTAATGGACTAATGTCTTTAAGCCTTTTAATATTCATAATTAATCAATAATTATAACAGTGATGGTCCACTTAAATGAAAATTTGGACTAAAGATAGATCGATTTAAAGAGTTTGAAAACAAGTTAAAAACGATTTTAAAAGTACATTGACTAAATTTAAAGATCAACGAATCAAAATGTCCATTTAAGAGGATCAATAAGGTGATTAACAAGTTAGAAGATTGATCCAAGAGATCAACTAACCTAAAGATCAAAGTTCATATGCTCGAGATTCTCGAATCAGAGAATAAATATTTAAACATCAAGTCTCGACGAAAATGATTAGAGCCCAAAACAAAGGCTATGTACACCACAAACCCTATGCCCACTTAGAAGATCATAGTGAAACCACTACCAAACTCACACCCATGCTTGGCTCACACTCATACTCATACTCATTATGATGGTATCTCACTATTCTATCACTCTCTCTTTTTGCCTATCTTAATCATTCCCACCACTATCTTTCCATCAAAACATCTCATTATAATCTCATACATTGATGAACTAATTAAAGATTATAAGCGAATCTCTTCACTAAATACAAAAACAAGGGTTTAGCTTGATTCATTGATAGAGTGCAAATTAATGAACATGGTTACATTTATTTGAATTTGTTATCATTAATTGCAACATATGGGTAAATATATGCTAGAGGGGCAAGGTGGGTACCAAACTCATCACTTGCACTGCAAAATTTGCCTTTTTTGTTGCTAATCTTCAAAGAGATGTGCAATTTAGCTTGCCGTCCCAGCTACTCCTTATCTCCTTTAATACCCATTCATAATTACTCATGAATATAATTAATAATTACATATATCATAAAAAAAGAATATTATTATTTTTTTAATATCATTCCTCAAATTCACAGTGTTGTCATCAACAAAACTTGGTTACTTACCGATAAGTAGAAGCTCATCTCCTTCCTCTTACGTGGGTTATTTGATCCAACCCTTAAACAACAAACCGCATCATAATTTCCACACCATCAAAATCATCAACACAACATGAGTAGTATTATCATTTATAGAGCAAACAATTCAATTTCAAGCTTTGACTATCAACCTTTTCTTCTTTTCCTTTCCATTCATGGAGAATGAATGCATCAATGGTGCAACGGGTTTGGACCGGTTGGGACTCGTCGCTTCTCGACACCATAGCGGGGATCGATGTCGTCGTTGTTGTCGGTGGTGGTATGGGAATGGTTTGCAGGCCGATTGGTTCCGCGGTGATGGACAAAGGGAGTGAAGTCTACTTTGCTGGCTAGTACCTTCCTTGTTGAGGAAAAGGTGATGGTTGGTGATGGTTTTGGATTGAATTTGGGTTTGAAGAGGTTTAGTTCATGAAGAAATAAGAGGAGAAGAGAGATCCAAAGTAGGGTAAAAAGGAAGTGGGAGATTTTGAATGTCATGGAGGAGGAAGGAGAGAGAGAATAAGAAGAAGGGTTTGAAAGGGAAGCATGGAGCACTAAAAGCAATCAGAAATTGAAGATGAAAGATGGGTTTTTTATGTTGTTGAGTGGAGAATGACAAATTTAATGAAATGGGTTTGTTTGAAAAGGTTAGGGGAAGCTTAAAAATGCTACCTTTTTTATGGGCAGAGGAGAGAGAAAGTGTCTTAGAGATAAAGGAAGACAAGATTGTTTGAAAGATTTATATAATAAATGGGTTTGGTTATCAATTGTTATGTCCAAAAGGGTGTATGATTTGGGGCAAACCCACACGCCAAATTTAGTTTTTGAGTGAAGTGAAGAGGAAAAAGAGAGGTGGGGAAGTGTGTAATGCGTTTGTTTTCCAATGGAGGAAGCAAAATGGCTCATATTTTGAAGAACAAAGCATTGGCAATGTCACATTTTATAGAGCCGTCAAGGGAAAGACTACTTTTAAGCTGTCCACAGCTCGCAATCTTGATTTGGACGGGTGGCCTTTAATCCAACTTTTGTGTTGAAATAGGTTTATGATGATGTTTGATATTTGTCATGAAAATCTATGTGGGTTTCAAACACGATGGTATGTACACTGTTCTCTTTCGGGCTTCCACTCAAAGTTTTAAAACACGTATATTAGGGAGAGGTTGCTTCATTCCCCTCTCCAACTGATGTGGGATCTCACAATCCACCCCCTTGTGGCCCAACGTCCTCAATGGAACACTGTCGGGTGCTTGGCTCTTATACCATTTGTAACCGCTTAAGCTCACTGTTAGCAGATATTATTCTCTTTAGGCTTTCCCTTTCGAGCTTCCTCTCAAGGTTTTAAAACGCATCTATTAGGGAGAGTTTGCTTCATTACCCTCTACAAACGATGGTGGGATCTGTTTGAGAGTTCCATAAGTATTAAGAGGATATTTTGGAGATATATTAGTTAGAATATATCTCAGATATTTAGGGAGTTGTTAGTATAAATTTGATTAATGGTGTATTTTATTTATTTACAAGATTTAGTTAGTTATATATTTTTTTCCTATTTTTAGGTATTAGTTAATAGTAGCTATTTAAACGTGGTAAGGAAGAACATACACTTTTCCAATTCTATTTTCTATTTCTATTTCTTAACATGGTATCAGAGCCTCGATCGTGGTGTTCTTAAATATCAAAATTTCCTTCATGGCGGAATCAGCCAAATCTAGCTTTAAAATTTCGGATGTTGATTTAACACATCCTTACTATATGCATCACTCTGATCAGCCAGGATATTCACTTGTTCCAATCAAATTAAATGGAGCAAATTACCAATCCTGGAGTAAATCAGTTATGCTCTTATTGCCAAGAAGAAAATTGGCTTCATTGATGGCACAATTGAGGAACCGCCCCAAGATGCAAGTTCAACCGAATTCGAACTCTGGAATAAGTGCAACAGTATGATAATATATTGGTTAACTCATTCTGTTGAAGTAGATATCGCTAAAAGCATTATTCACGCCAAGACAGCTCATCAAGTGTGGGTTGATCTTCGCGATCAATTCTCACAAAAGAATGCTCCAGCAATTTTTCAAATACAAAACTCGATAGCAACGATGTCACAAGGAACCATGATAATGTCAACATATTTCACCAAGCTCAAAGCACTCTGGGATGAATTGGAAGCGTACCGCACACCATTTACGTGTAATCAACGTCAAATACATATTGATCAACACGAAGAAGACAAGTTGATGCAATTGCTCATGGGGCTCAATGAGTCTTATAAAATGGTGAGATCTAACATATTGATGATGTCTCCATTACCTAATGTGAGGCAAGCTTATTCATTACTTGTACAAGAAGAGATGCAGCGACAGGTAACTTCTGAACCTACTGAGAATTTCTCGATTGCATCAGCAGTGCAGAAGAAAACAACATATTCAAAATTCGCCAAGGACAAATCGTGTGAACACTGCAATAAAAGTGGTCATACAATCAATGAGTGTCAAATTCTTAAGTTTCATTGTAAGTTTTGTGATAGAAGGGGACATACAGAAGATCGGTGTCGACAGAAAAATAATTCTACAAGGACAAGACAAGTCAATCAACACAATCATCGTGGATACCGATCATCTGCAAATATGGCCGATGTTTCACAGTTGAATACAGAAGAACAGTCACCTAATTCCATTCCAAATTTTTCTTCTGAGCAATTACGACAAATAGCACAAGCCTTATCTGCAATCAATCAAAACCCTTCTAGTAATTCTGACAATCACATCAATGTTGCAGGTTTGTTTCCCATATCTACATTATCTGTTAACTCTGCGAGTTCTAATTCATGGATTTTCGATAGTGGAGCTACAGATCATATAGTATCAAAATCTTCTGTTATGACTGATCCAAAGGCTGCCATCAAGTCTACAATATATTTGCCTAATGGAGAGACAGCACGTGTGTCACATACTGGTAATATTTTCCTTAGCCCTAACCTTAAGTTAAACAACGTTTGATGTGTGCCTTCATTCAATTTAAACCTAATGTCGATCAGCAAACTTACCAATAACTTGAAATGTTATGTCACCTTCTATCCTGATTCTTGTGTTGTGCAGGACTTGGCTACGGGGAAGATGATTGGCTCGGGTAAACAATTTGGAGGTCTCTATCATATTTCTTCATCTCCAATCAAATCTTCAACTCATAAGTATCTCAGTCATCTGATTTGTGGCATTTACGTCTAGGTCATCCTTCTTTTTCTCGTTTTAAATTTCTAGCTGATCAATTGCATCTTAATAATGCGAGTTATTCTCATAATTGTAGTATCTGCCCGTTAGCAAAACAAACTAGGTTGTCTTTCCCAAGAAGTTCAATAACAACCCATTCTGCCTTTGATCTGATACATTGTGATATTTGGGGACCATATAAAATTCCTACCCATTATGGTTTGCGTTTTTTTCTCACTATTGTTGATGATTTTACTCGATGTACTTGGGTTTTTCTAATGCAACATAAGTCAGAAGTACATCATTTGTTAATGAACTTTGTTAAATTTGTTCAAACTCAATTTCATACTACTATCAAGATAGTTCGATCAGACAATGGGACTGAGTTCCTATCTTTGCAACCATTCTTTAGTTCTTGTGGTATTGAATTTCAGCGCACTTGTGTCTATACTCCACAACAAAATGGAGTCGTAGAACGTAAGCATCGCCATATTCTAAATGTAGCTAGGTCTCTTCTTTTTCAGTCACAGGTTCCACTTAATTTTTGGGGAGAGTGCATTTTAACGACTGTTTATCTTATAAATAGAACGCTATCACCAGTGTTATCTAACAAGACACCCTTTGAAGCACTCTACAAACGATCACCTACATTTCATCATCTTAAAGTTTTTGGTTGTAAATGTTATGCAACTATAGTACATCCTAAGCAAAAATTTGAACCTCGGGTAATTCCTTGTGTTTTCGTAGGATATCCTTGTAGTCATAAAGGTTACAAATTGTATGACATGCAATCTCACAAATTCTTTATCAGCCGTGATGTTAAATTTTGTGAAGATGATTTTCCTTTTTCATCAGCTTCACAAACTTCGACATTAGCTCCTTCGACTCCTGTTGTTCCACTTCATGATCCATCCTACTTAAGCATCCATCCTCCACCTTCCATTCCTCCTTCACCTCCTATCCCTTCACCTACTACTTCGTCGTCTCCTCCACCTTCTCCAGATTTGCCCACTAATTCCAATCCTATCCCGCCTGATACATCAGCTCCACTCCGACGTTCTACTCGCACTAAACAGCCTCCAGCTTGGCATAAGGATTATGAGATGTCTTATGGAGCCAATCATTTAACCTCTAGCTCAGGTCCCGGCACTGGCACCAGGTATCCCCTTCATCATTACCTTTCATTCTCTCGTTTTTCTCCTACTTAACGTGCTTTTCTTGCTCTTATTACATCCCAGACAGAACCTAAAACCTATGACGAGGCAGTTGGCGACCCTTTATGGCAGCATGCTATGAATGATGAAATTGCAGCTTTGGAACGTAATCATACATGGTCTCTCGTTCCTCTACCACCTGGTCATAAAGCTATTGGTTGTCGCTGGGTGTACAAAATTAAATACAACTCTGATGGTTCTGTTGAACGTCATAAAGCTCGACTTGTAGCAAAGGGACACACTCAGGTTGAAGGTATTGATTACACAGAAACATTTTCCCCTACAGCGAAACTTACTACAGTTGGTCTTGGCCACCAGGTTTATATGTCTTTACCACCAGGTTTTCGCCGACAGGGAGAGAATACAGTATGTCGGCTCCATAAATCTCTTTATGGATTAAAACAGGCTTCTCACAATTGGTTCTCCATATTTTCTACAACTATACAAAATGCAGGCTACACTCAGTCCAAAGCAGACTACTCTTTGTTTACCAAGAGTAAAGGTACTTCTTTCACTGCAGTTCTAATTTATGTTGATGATATTCTGTTGACAGGCAATTATCTCAAAGAAATGCAATATCTCAAGACTAGTTTACTCCAGAAATTTCTTATCAAAGATTTAGGAAATTTGAAATATTTTCTAGGCATTGAATTTTCTCGGTCTAGAAAAGGAATTTTTATGTCTCAAAGAAAGTATGCTCTAGACATTCTTCAAGACACAGGCCTTACACGAGCACGTCCAGACAAATTTTCTATGGAGCAAAATCTGAAACTTTCTTTAACTGAAGGAGAGAAATTAAACGATCCAAGTAAATACAGACGATTGATTGACAGATTAATATATTTGACTGTCACTAGGCCTGACATAGCTTATTCAGTTCGTATGCTTAGCCAATTTATGCATGAACCAAGAAAACCACATTGGGAGGCAGCTCTTCGAGTTCTGAGGTACATCAAAGGCACTCCTGGTCAAGGACTCCTACTGCCATCTGAAAACAATTTAAGATTACAAGCATATTGCGATTCTGACTGCGGTGGTTGTCGAACTTCCAGACGGTCTATTTCTGGGTTCTGCATTTTTCTTGGAAATTCAATTATTTCTTGGAAGTCTAAAAAGCAGACTAATGTGTCTAGATCATCAGCAGAAGCCGAGTATCGAGCTATGACAAATACTTGTTTAGAGTTAACTTGGTTAAGATACATTCTTCAAGACTGTCCGAACCAACATTATTATATTGTGATAATCAAGCAGCATTACATATAGCAGCCAATCCAGTTTTTCACGAACGTACGAAACACATTGAAATAGATTGTCATATAGTTCGAGAAACGTTACAAGCTGAAATCATCAAACCGTGTTATATTTCGACCAAAATGCAATTGGCAGATGTTTTTACTAAAGCTCTAGGAAGACAGCAATTTGACCTTTTGAAGGTGTGATCGACATACACTCTCCAACTTGAGGGGGAGTATTAAGAGGATATTTTGGAGATATATTAGTTAGAATATATCTCAGATATTTAGGAAGTTGTTAGTATAAATTTGATTAATTGTGTATTTTATTTATTTACAAGTTTTAGTTAGTTATATATTTTTTTTTTTATTTTTAGGTAGTAGTTAATAGATATTTAGGGAATTGTTAGTATAAATTTGATTAATGGTATATTTTATTTATTTACAAGTTTTAGTTAGTTATATATTTTTTTTTCTATTTTTAGGTATTAATTAATAGTTTGTATGTATTTAAACGTGGTAAACCTGAATCAAGAACATACACTCTTCCAATTCTATTTTCTATTTCTATTTCTTAACAATAAGCCTCAGATGAGGTTTCTAATGTACTTTGTTCGAGGAGAGGATTGTTGAGAATTATTATTGTACTTTGTTCGAGGGGAGGATTGTTGAGAATTATTATTGGGAGTGAGACCCATATTAGCTAATTTAGTAGAAGATTATGAGTTTATAAGTGAGGAATACCATCTCCATTGGAATGAGACTTTTTAGGAAGTCCAAAGGAAAACCATGAGAGCTTAGGCTCAAAATGAATAATATCATACCCATTGTGGAGAGGCCAGGATCTCACAATCCACCTTCCTTGGGGACCTGGCGTCCTCGTTAGAACATTGCCCGTTGCTCGACTCTAATGTCCATCGCTAGCAGATATTATCCTCTTTGGGCTTTTCTTTTCAGACTTCCTTTCAAGATTTTAAAACGCGTCTACTACGGATGTGAGATCTCACACAAATGGTCTGAGAGCAAGAATTTCTAAAAACATTTCATTTTTTAGAAGATGAGCCATGTGAGTCCTTGCTTCGTTGTTCGTTGATTTTCTAAGATCTAACCTTTCATTTTCCTATTAAAGTATTATATATTTATTCGCACTTCCATTCTTCTATCTACATCATATGTATAGAACAGTAGTCAAGTTAATACCTCACTTGAAACTCTTGTGATATGCATCTGCTCTTATTAGAATCAGCCCATTCATCGTAGCAGGATCATGGGTGGGTCACTCCCTACCTTGCCATCGCTACCAAGTAACAATGATCACGTTAGGGTCGATGAAGGACTTAATTCTCAATTAACAACTATAAGATATCTTTATCTTATAAGGTATTCCAGTAGACATATTCTTTCTCGACCGATTCTTTGCATCGACCCTATTAATAATTCACGTCCCAAGCTAACCTATAGACCTTGAATGATCTATATATGATATAATTTAGAACTCGACAAAATTCGAAATCTCACGGAATGTTACGTTAAGTTTTAGGGTTATTATCGGTGAAAGGAGTGGAGGTGATTGGGGCCTAACGGGGTGCCCCTTACCTTTATCCACTTTTTAGAACATTCAAGCACATACATGTTTCTATACTTCTCCCTAATTCAATTTTGGACTACATCAACCTTTCTCTCATTGTTAGATCAAAACTTATTAATTATTAAAGATCTTTTGTTTTTTTTTATATATGTAAATAGTGTTTTTTATATGCTCAAAATGTTCGAATAATGATATTTCATTGTGAAATCTCACATCAGTTGAAGAGGGAAACGAAACATTTCTTATAAGAATGTGGAAATTTCTCCTAGTAGACGTGTTTTAAAACTGTGAGACTGACGACGATATGTAATGGGTCAAAGTAGACAATATCTACTAGCGATGGGCTTGCTGTTACTAATGGTATCAGAGCCATACATTGGGCGGTGTGCTAGTGAGGACGAGCTTACCCTTAAGGGAGGTGGATTGTGAGATCACACATTAGTTGAAGAGGGGTGTTAAGGATATTTAGTAATAAACTATAGTTTACCATATATATTATATTTGATATTTTATTACAAGGTAAATATCTAATATTTGCCTTAATATCCTATGTATCTTTCCATTTATTGTTATTTTCATTTATTACTATTTCCATATAGTTGTAATTCATTTGATTATAAATAAGATAACTTTCACACCATTTAAGTGTGGTGGATTAATCAAACATTCACGTGGTATCAGAGCCCTCTCGGTTTAACAACCTCGATCCTTTCTTTTCAATGGCTTTTGAATCCTCTAATCTTCTTCTCCACCACCCCTGCTGGTTTTGACGCCGCAGGGGCAGTCTTCATGGCTGCCGTAGTCGGAGCCAATTGATTACTCTTCGGTTCCACCCTATTGACCTCCAAATCACTTTTTGTCATACTCTGTACATACAACCTCACCTTTTCCAACCCAATCGGTTTTCCCCTTGGCCAATATAGTCTCTCTCATTTTCTTCCCAATCAACCTTCATCCTTCACATAAACCCTAACCTAAACCTATCAACCTTTTGCAGAGATTTACCTTCGGAATCTGGGTGCCGCACTGGCCTATTCGCCAACCAAGTTGCCGCCGCCCTTCCTGCCAAAATTGGCTTCTTCGCCCGATGAGGCGACTCTTCCGACTGCCCTTCTCGCCAAAATTGGCTCCTTCGCCCAATGTGGCGACTCTTCCGGCTTCAACATTGTCTTTGTCCCTTGCTCTAGGTTTCCTCTTCTACTTCTTGGGGTTAGAAATATTCTCACCAGAACCAAGGCAGCATCGTCGCTAAGCGACAATCCCTCTTCATGGGTTAGACATATTCTCGCCGAAGCCAAGGCAGCATCGCCGCTGAGCGGCGATCCCTCTGCAATTTTTGATGGCCAAGAACCGGGTTGTTAGCATCTTCATGAAAAGTGTTTCTCAACCTCTTTGAATTTTTCAGATTCAAGCTTCACGTTCGTTTAAATCCGACGCTTAGCTTGCGGTGGGGTGTTAAGGATATTTAGTAATAAATTATAGTTTACCATATATATTATATTTGATATTTTATTATAAGACAAATATCTAATATTTGCCTTATTATCATAGGTATCTTTCCATTTATTGTTATTTCCATTTATTACTATTTCCATATCCTTGTAATTCATTTGATTATAAATAAGATAACTTTCACACCATTTAGGTGTGGTGGATTAATCAAACATTCACATGGTATCAGAGCCCTCTCGGTTTAACAACCTCGATCCTTTCTTTTCAATGGCTTTTGAATCCTCTAATCTTCTTCTCCACCACCCCTGCTGGTTTTGACGCCGCAGGGGCAGTCTTCATGGCTGCCGTAGTCGGAGCCAATTGATTACTCTTCGGTTCCACCCTATTGACCTCCAAATCACTTTTTGTCATACTCTGTACATACAACCTCACCTTTTCCAACCCAATCGGTTTTCCCCTTGGCCAATATAGTCTCTCTCATTTTCTTCCCAATCAACCTTCATCCTTCACATAAACCCTAACCTAAACCTATCAACCTTTTGCAGAGATTTACCTTCGGAATCTGGGTGCCGCACTGGCCTATTCGCCAACTAAGTTGCCGCCGCACTTCCTGCCAAAATTGGCTCCTTCGCCCAATGTGACGACTTTTCCGGCTTCAACATTGTCTTTGTCCCTTGCTCTAGGTTTCCTCTTCTACTTCTTGGGGTTAGAAATATTCTCACCAGAACCAAGGCAGCATCGTCGCTAAGCGACAATCCCTCTTCATGGGTTAGACATATTCTCGCCGAAGCCAAGGCAGCATCGCCGTTGAGCGGCGATCCCTCTGCAAATTTTTGATGGCCAAGAACCGGGTTGTTAGCATCTTCATGAAAAGTATTTCTCAATCTCTTTGAATTTTTCAAATTCAAGCTTCACGTTCGTTTAAATCCGATGCTTAGCTTGCGGTGGGGTGTTAAGGATATTTAGTAATAAACTATAGTTTACCATATATATTATATTTGATATTTTATTATAAGGTAAATATCTAATATTTGCCTTAATATCCTATGTATCTTTCCATTTATTGTTATTTGATTATAAATAAGATAACTTTCACACCATTTAAGTGTGGTGGATTAATCAAACATTCAGAAGGGGAATTGAGCATTCCTTATATCAGGGTGTGGAAACCTCTCCCTAGTATGTTTCGTTTTAAAAACCGTAAGACTAATGATGATACGTAATGAGCCAAAGTGAACAATATCTGCTAATGGTGGACTTGAGCTGTTACATTCATCCATTTGACCATTGATGACATTTCTACTATGAAATGTATGCTATCAATGAGTAATAGATGTTCATATACGTTAAACGTTAAATACTGACATAAACATAACTCAACTGATTAACACATACATATAAAAAGCTCAAATCTTCAAATCCCATTTGTTGCCGTTGGAGGATGCCGAACGGGTAAGCATGCAACCGAGGCCAGAGGAGCCAGAGAAGAGCGACTACAGATTTGGAAAACTTTTAGAAATTCTTATTTTGGTTTGATTAAGGTTCTTGTTTTGGGACATGTCCCAAACCAACTTTTCACCGTTTGGTAATGAAGTGTGAGAGTAGTGATGAAAAGGGCTGTGATGGGAGGGGGCCAGAGAATGGACATTTGATGAACTTGTTGATAAGTCACTGTCTTGCAAAAATGGAATGCATTTGGTCTCTCTTACATATAAATCATATCCCATACCTTTTGATTTTGTGTGTTTGTCACTTGCAAAACCCACCAATAAATGTCATTGAATCAACAACTACTCTTCCATGCCATTTGCTACAAACCATCCTCAAATCATTCGATTTCAAACCTCACGATTTTAAAACACGTCTACTAGTGAGACATTTCCACATTCATATAAGAAATACTTTGTTCCTGATCTCAAAGTTCTGTTCTAGTACTCAAATGCACGTTTATCCAAGAAACAAGACCTCCTTCATTTAAGAAAGCTACACCTTATGGTCTAGAATTATGACATCGCACACATTGTCTTCTTTGAACTTTCCCTTTCAAGATTCCCCTCAAGATTTTTAAAACGCATCAGCTAGGAAGAGATTTCCACACAATTATAAAAAATGTTATGTGGGATCTCACAATCCACCTTTCTTTGGGGCCCAACATCCTCGTTGGCACTTGTTCCACTCTCCAACCGTTATGGGATCTCACATCATGACTCAACTCCAAGCCTCGACCATTAGAAAAGCTTACTCTTCGCTTTTGATTGGTGTCAGCTTTGGCGGTTAGATCACTTGTTTTTTGAGGAGTAAATGTAAATATGAGAGTGAAAATTTGAAGAGTAGAGAAGGGTCAAAGAAGGGGGAGAGAGTGTGACAGGTGGTCTTACAGTCAAACAAAGCACTGTCTTCAATGGAGGGTAAAGCTGGGAGTACAATGGCCTATATCCATCTCTCTCTCTCTATCTCTCTGAAAAACAACAGTCTTCAAATTATTGTCCTCTCGCTCTGCTACTCGGGTTCATCGAGAGGTACCCGAGTTAAAAATGATGTGGAGTTCAACGACATTAAGACATGGGTTATAAAGCAAAATTGAGTAGGAAGGAAGAGAATATATACCAAGTTGTTAGGGTCTCCAATCCAAGGCTTCCCTTTATGTTTGGTAGGTCAGGTTGATATCGTAGCTTAACATTTAAGCCCACAGCTGTGTCTCTAAAAAGAAACAACAGTAATATTGATAGGTTAAATATCTGAGTAAGCTGTCCCAACCTCAACCCACGTGAACTGTCCCCCGTCAGATGCTGCTGCAGTTTTGTGCTTAGTTTCCCTAATTACTTCCTTTTATCTCTCCCTCGCTTTCACCTGCCATTGCATCCACACGCCCTATGCCATCCTATCATTCCTATCCACTCACTCCCAAACTCCCCTCCCCTCTCTCTCTCTCATGCCCCCATCTCGTTTTTACTTGTTAATTATTGAGAATAGACGCGAATATGTTTTCAAAATCCCAGTGACCCAATTGGGTTTGTGAGATCACACATCGGTTGAAGAGGGGAACGAAACACTTTTTATACAGGTGTAGAAACTTAGTTTGTGAGATCTCACATTGGCTGAAAAGGGGAACGAAACACTTCTTATAAGGTTGTAAAAACCTGATCGGTTGAAGAGAGGAACGAAACACTTCTTATAAGGGTGTAGAAACCTAGTTTGTGAGATCCCACATTGGTTGGAGAGGGGAACAAAACACTTCTTGTAAGGATGTAAAAACCTAGTTTGTGAAATCCCACGTTGATTGAAGAGGGGAATGAAACAAATGAAACATTCCTTATAAGGGTGTGGAAACTTGGTTTATTCCTTATAAGGGTGTGAACTCTTGAAAAGAGGAATAAAACATTCCTTATATGAAAACTTGGTTAGATCCCACATCGATTGAAAAGAGGAATAAAACATTCCTTATATGGGTGTGAGGTTGACAACTATAAGTAATGAGCCAAAACGACCCATATTTACCTACCGTGTACTTAGCATCTCCCCAACACTATCATAAAATAGCTTTCTCTTTCCCAAAAGTGGTCTCATTCATTATTTTGAAGGTAGATAATGATAGGTTAACAACCTCCATGTTTCTACTATTTCAATACGTTTAAATATTCACAAATCCTTCTCTATCTCTATCTACACCTCTTCTTTTCATTTTCATGATGAAGCAAGACATGTTTGGTTTAGATCATGTAAACCCCATCTCAATGGATCAAGAACATGAGGAGAACTCCTCCTATCTACATTTCCCACATCCTTTTCTCGACGACGACCTATTTTTGACTCACTTGTTATCCCAACAACAACAACTCGTCAGTGGCGGAGATTGTTGGAAAGATCAAGAACAAGAACAGGAAAAAGAAGACGATGTAGGACATGATCATAAGCAAAATTCAGAGAAGAAAGGTAGAAGAAGCTTGGAGGTGAAGAAGAAGAAGAAGAAATGTAATAGTAATAGGAAAAATGGAAGCTCCACCACAAAGAGAACAGTGAAGAAGGACAGACACAGTAAGATCTGCACAGCACAGGGCCCAAGAGACCGTAGAATGAGGCTGTCCCTTCAAATTGCAAGGAAATTCTTCGACCTTCAAGACATGCTAGGCTTTGACAAAGCTAGCAAAACCATAGAGTGGCTTCTCTCACACTCAAATTCCGCCATCAAGGCTCTCAAAAACAACAACAACAACAGCGGGGTTAGCCACGGCAGCGCGTGCTCCGGGTCGAGTGAGGTTGTGTCAAAACAAGACGCTGGTGGTTCCATTGGCACTCCCAAACACAAAAAGGGCAGGCAATTACAAACAATTGGTAGAGAGTCAAGGGCTAGGGCAAGAGCTAGGGCAAGGGAAAGAACAATGTTGAAGAAATCTCCACAACCCATTTCCATTTCTCAACATTATTTGAACTCAGATGAGACCCATTTGGAAGATTGCCCAAAAGTTTTTGCCTTTTCTGATGATCTCTCATCAATCCACACCTTTTTCTCAGGTAATATCACCACTTTCTTGCCCTAATTCCTTTTTCTCATTCCACATTACTCAAATTACCCTAATTATTCATCAATTCCTCTATACAAACAAAAACCCTAATTCTTCTTCTTCTTCTTCTTCTTCTTCTTCCTTTATGCTCTTCCCCCTCAAAATCTTGTTTAATTTATATAATAACCCAAACATTATCCAATTGGGTTTCTGCAATTTTAATTTATATAGCAACCCCTAAGGTTTCGTTTCATAATCATTTAGGTATGTGCGGTGATACTTTTGTTTCTCGTGTCCTGTTCTTTAAATTCATACTTGTTTTCCTTATTTTCTTACTATTATTTTTATCTTTGCTAAGAATATTTGTGACCATGATAATAGAAAATTGATAGCAAAACAAAGAAACTTACGGGTGAAAATAGTGTTTATAAGCGGAAATTTAGTTTTTATTAAACGGGTATTTAGATTATCTAATGGTTATCAAACAGGTCATTAGCTTTTAGATTTTAGTTCTTGAAAATAATACTTGTTTTTCAATAATTTCTCAATTTTTTTTAGTTTTTAAAACAACTCGTAGATGTCTTGCAATGTCTTGATTGAATCTTTACGGGTCAAAGTGAATATAGTTCAGTAATTGACATATAGCTCTTTCTTTATGTCCCTGAAATTTAAAAAATATAAAAGGAAACAAAAGAAAATTTAGCCAATTTCTGAAATTCAAATGATGGCTCAACTCTTATTAGATTGAATTCATTCCTATTTTAGATCCTATTTAGCCCACCTTTTTATCCTATACAAATGGTTGCTCTTACTATTCACTCAAAAGTGAAAGCAAATTACCTAAAAATCTAACCCCAAATCATAGAGGTACTATTGTCTCATTTTTTTTAATATTCACAGACTAAAAAATGTTTCGTTCCCCTCTACAATAAACATATTCACTCCCTTGAGGGCCCAAAAAAAAGCATCGACTAATGAGAGGGTTTTCATACTCTTATAAAAAACTACTTAGGTTTACCTAAAAAACGCGTCTCTGCGTCTCTACTAGGAAGAAGTTTCCACACTCTTATAAAGAATACTTAAGTTTCCACTTAGGTTTGCCCAAAACACGTGTCTACTAGGGAGATGTTTCCACATCCTTATAGAGAATACTTAGGTTTCCACTTAGGTTTACCTAGAAAACGCGTCTACTAGGGAAAGAGTGAGAGGTTCCACCCTTATAATGAATGTTTCGTTCCCCTTTCCAACCAATGTGAGATCTCACAATCCACTCCTTGGGGGCCTAGCGTTCTTGTTGACACTAATCTGATACCATTTGTAATAGCCAAAGTTCACTGCTAGCAGATATTGTCCACTTTGGTTGGTTACGTAGCATCGTTAACCTCATAATTTGAAAACACGTCTACTAGGGAGAGGCTTCTACACCCTTATAAAAAAAATGTTTCATTCCTCTTTCCAACTAATATGAGATCTCACACTAACAAACTTCAAAAGATCATAATTAGTCCAACACTAAAAAGTTGGAGATTTGAATCACGACACACAACCGAGGTGCACTAAGTTAAGTTAAAGATGGAGGGTTAGGGGTTTTTGAAGATGCAGAGTGTTCACAGGTCTGTCAAAGTCAAATAGTGGGAACATCTTACGCCACTATGATATCAAAGTCATGGTGTGCAGCGTAGCCCTGCTGAGCTCTAGGGCTCCCTCCTCTTCCTTTTTTAACTCTCTTTCCCCAACCCATTTTATTCCTTTTCATGCACCTAAATCTGTGCCTACATAATCTTTTACATCAAAACTTTACCTCAATGGTTGGTGTCGAAGACGTATTATTGGGAGGAGCAGTCTCACATCAGCTAATTAAGGGGAAACTAAAAGCAAAGTCATGAGAGCTTATGCTCAAAGTAGTATTCAACCCGTCATACTACATGAGAATCTTCCTAGGTTTGAAGCTAGATTGGAAGGCTCTTAGATTGGAAGGCTTGTTTGGTTCGCCCCTCGCCGATGCATTCTGTTAGGCTATGGATTATAGAAACAAATGTAATTGAATGAGACAGCAGGTGGGTTACACGTTCTACTATGCCGAGATGTGAGTTGCAGGGGTGGACAATATCTTACCACCGTAGAGGTTCATGATACCTAAAATATTATCAAAATCATGCCCTTAACTTCGCTTTGTCAATAAAGTCCCTCAAATGTCGTACAAAGAAGTTGTGAGTCTCGAAGGAGTCAGAGTAACTCAAGTGTCGAACAATGGGTGTACTTTGTTAAACGGGAGGAGTGTTGAGGACTATTGGAACGCCATCTTCATAAATATGAAGCCTTCTGGAGAAACCCTAAAGCCATGAGAGCTTATACTCAAAGAGGATAACATCGTACCATCGTATCCACAAACAACAAACAACATGTTATGTTGTTACACACCCTTGTTCCTTAAACTTTGCAATTACTTTAACCAAACGAGAACATGGGAAGAGAACAAAAGTTGTTTGTTTTGCATTTCACATAGAGAATATAAAAAAGTAGAAATGGTTCAAGTGTTGATCGAGTCTGTCTCTTGTGTGGAAGCCTTTCTTATCACCAAATGCATTTGATCAAATCAACACAATCGCTTTGCATTTTGCTATTAGGTTCTAACACGTTCATTGCTACCAAAAAGCATTGCATACACGTTTACACAACTTAACATCTAATCCTATTAAAGAGATGCCTCAAAACAAGCCTAAAAACTTTTTATCTCTTCCTCTTAAACCTTAGGGTTGGTGAAATGTTTTGGTATCATCTCTTCAACCATTTAGTAGAGATGTTTCCGAGCACCGAAACTTTTCTCATTTCCATCCCCGCATAATATAATCGTAATAGTCCAATTCCACCACTAGTAAATATTGTCTGTTTTGACCCGTTACGTATCACCATCAACCTTACAGTTTTAAAACGCGTCTGATAGGAAGAGATTTTCATACCCTTGTAAGGAATGTTTCGTTCTCCTCTCCAATCGATATGAGATCTCACAATCCACCCTCTTGTGGACTCAGCGTCCTTGCTGGCACACCGCCTGGTGTCTGGCTCTAATATCATTTGTAACATTCTGAGGCCACCGTGTTAGAAATCACGAACCTCCACAATGGCATGATATTGTCTACTTTGAGCATAAGCTCTCATGGTTTTGCTTTGTGCTTACCCAAAAGGCCGCATACCAATGGAGATAGTAACCTCACTTATAAACCCATAATCTTCCACTAAATTAGCCAATGTGCGACTCTTTCCCAACAATCCTCAACACACCGCTAGCAGATATTGTCCGCTTTAACCCATTACCTATTGCCGTCAGCCTCACGATTTTAAAACGCGTCTACTATGGGAGAGGGTTTAGCCCTACTTCGACCAATATCTTGCACCATCGAGTGACTAACTTTGATACCATTTGTAACAGCTCAAGTCCACCGCTAGCAAATATTGTCCACTTTGGCCCATTACATATCACCGTCAACCTCACAATTTTAAAACGTCGGAAGTCAAGATAAATCTCTCTCCCTTTACTCCTCATTCGTAGTCGTGTTTGTAGCGAATCTCCACAAGGTGTGGTTGTAGGAGTTAAATGACAAGTCTATGACATAAGAACATTTTATAGGTTGGAATATTTTGAGAAGCATATGAATGTTTTGTTCAAAGGTTATTGGTTTAAACCTAGGAGTGTTTGTGGCATAAATGTCTGAGCCACCACCAACTTTTGTAGGACCTCAAACCGTGTGGAAGGGTAGTTTTACTTTTGTTTCCCCAAATCGTCAGAAAAAGCAAATTCCATAAAATCTGTTTGAACAGAATAAAATCTTGGATGGTGGATTTTAATCATAGATCCTGCTCGCATATGTACGCAAATCAAAAGGGGGCCATGTTCTTTAACCTTCTGTGCTGCCTTTTCATTCATAATATGTCCAACATTAATCTGTTCTTCATTTTTATGTTATGGTCATGCTACAACGTTGTTATGTTCAACTACTTAATGGTGTTCTTCTTAGATGCCAACAACTCCTTCTTGCTGCAACTCTGCTACTTGTCGTGTTGGGTTATTGCATTCTTATTGCAGTAGGATAATGATTATGCGGGACTTGTTATCGTCTAGCGAATATGAGAAATTCGGAGTTTGCGGACAACGTCGACGTATAATCAAGCCTCGAGTCACGTTTGGGAGAAATGTATTAGAAAATGTGAGCGAAGAAATACATTCAAAATAATTTGAAAGAAAGTGATGTTATAAACTAAAAGCAATTAAGCAACAACAACGGTTTGATAGACTTTAACCTGGGTAGGAAGAAGTGAGAAATAGTCATATCCATTGTAGTACATTTTGAAACATTTTAGTTCTAGTGGGTATAGACATGATTTTGGGAACAGGTTATATACATTCCATATTGACACAACATGAAATAGTAAATGCTAATCTAAGATGAAAACATGTAAAAGGGGTTTGGAACGAGCATGCGACCATGGACAACATGTCTTGGACAAGTAGGATCGAGACATCTGACATGTAGCTATCGGCAACATGACTTGGACAAGTATGACGAGACATCCGACATATGACCATAGGCAACACGACTTGGATAAGTATGACAGAGATATCCGACATGTGGCCACAGACAACACGACTTAGACAAGTATAACAGAGACATCTGACATGTGGCCATAGGCAACAAGACTTGGACAAGTATGACAAAGACAACCGACATGTGGCCATAAGCAACACGACTTGGAGAAATATGATAGAGACATCCGACATGTGGCCATAGGCAACACGACTTAGATAAGTATGATTGAGAAATCCGACATGTGGTCATAGGCAACACGACTTGGACAAGTATGACAGAGACATCCGACATGTGGCCATAGATAATACGCATTGGACAAACATGTCAATGGATGGATTGGAATGGACTTAATAATTGGGCTTAATAATATATGGGAAATTAAAGTGGTATTGGGCTTAGTAATTGGGCCCAAAAATTGAAAGCAGAAAACCACATTTCTTCCCTCCGCCG